ACTTCAACTCCCAGAATTCCCCAGCCAGCATGCTGGCTGGGGAATCCTGGGAGTTGAAGTCCACACTTCTTAATGTTGCTGAGGTTGAGAAACACTGCTCTAATGCAAGGGCTCTTCAGACATGTGCAGTCCCAGGCAAGCCCTGCCAAGATCTTTGAGAGTTCAAACATCTCCCCAAATGGAACCTCAGACAGTGAATGGTATTGCTGGACATGAACGTAAGGCAACTCCCAGCAAACCACCTTGCCATGTCCCCAGCAGTCCTGCCAGGTGGCTTCTGGGATGCAAGTAAAGAAAGTGCCTTTGCCTTCCTGTGTGAAGCACAGGGCTGCTGAATGGAAAGCGCTATCTGAATAAGCCCCTCTCTCCAGGCTGTTCCCTGATGGAGAAACAACAAAGAGCAGGACCTTCCTTTTCTGCTAGAGTGTGCAACTTTCCTCAGCTTGAGGACCATGCTAAGTTTTGCACAGCAAGTTGATGCTACAAAAATGGGAGCTGCTAGTATTGTTTTGGAGGGACATTTCAGGGTTTAAGCAGAGAAATAAATCTGTTAAACACCTGGCCTAACGCATCCATTTTGCCTTGCGCTTCCTGAAACTTAAAAAAAACAGAGGCTCTAGGCCCACAAAATGGATACAGGTGGATCTCCTGTGGCCCTGGGTGTTGCACCCCTGCTCTCTGCTACTTCGTAATCCACTTCCTTCTGGCTTCCCTGGCTCCTCCTGAAGTTCAGGAGAAAGCTGGGGGTGGAATACATGTTGAATTACTGAGTCAGGAATGAGGTCTGTGCTGGAGGAAAGACACACTTACCATCTTTATGCACTCGCATGGCAGAAGCTGTGATGTCTGTTGTCACATTAAAATATGGGAGCCATAGATCCTTCAGGTGACGAAGTGGAAAAGAATGAAAATCATATGGAAGGTCACAGTAAGTGAGAGGGAGAAAGGCTACAAAGACTTCTACATTTACTGTATTCTGAATACATGCACATACATTAACCCAAATTCTCCAGTTTACTGTAGCTTATTTGATCAATAAAGGAGAAATTGTACAAGTGACCTAATTTATGTATTTCTGGCTACCACAGGGCAGAGATAGAACCAAATTAAACACTGACATTTTACTTTCCCCAGGCTTCAGAAACATCTACTGTGGCTATTAAGAGAAAACTTTTCAGAATGATGGATTCTGGGTAGCGAGCGGTCTTAAGTGGAAAAGACCTTCAGCACTTTCTAGCTGTTTCCTGTGATGGTGAGAAAGGGATACCTCAATCTGTTTATCCTGGAACACCTTGTGAATACTGGTGTTGAAGGCAGAGCCAGAGAACATGGAAGTGATGGGGTAGGTGAGATCCAGCACAGTTGCAAACACCGAATTCATACTCTGTAGAAAGGACAAATGAGGGCATTAGGCAGAAATAAGCCATGAAAGACCCAACCCTGCTACATCATGAGCTTTTCTGGAACCAGGGGAAGAATAAAGACGTTGATCTTGGCTAGAGGGAAGGTGGTTCCTTTCAAAGTAGCCTGAACCAATGCAGTATGGGCCAAACCAAAGGAGAAAGAGGGGAACTTTCATTGTAATAAGTATAAAACAGAAAGTGGGATAGAGAGTACTAGATGTGATTTGTCTCCATAGCACTTTAAAAATACATTATAGTACCTGTACTTAAACCATTTTTATCAAAAAGAAAACTGATTTCAACCAATGTTGAATTAACCTATGTTCAGCAAAAGGGCAATTTATCTGCATTCCATCAGTTCTAAAAATCTGGCTTGACCCCGAATAGTCTGAACCATTTCTTCTGCAGGAGCTCCAAAGCACTGATACATGCTGGATCCTTAAGCCAGGAACAGGCAATCCATGGCTTCAGGCTAAAGATTCCCTTTCTGTTGGACTTGAAGCCTCCCAAGATCCCGCACTAAAATTTGGTGGCGAATAGCTGAATCATGGGAATGTGATTTTCTGTGCATGGATGCATTAGGCCTCCAATCAACTTATCAGATCTATTTTGATAATAGGTGGTGAAAATTCTGTGCCCCCACATGGCAAAGTTGCATTTTGTAATGTTTTCTGCATCCCTCAGCCACTGAAACACTGCTGCATAAAACAATCCCTCCTTTACAGTGATCCACTGCTTTCTAGCCACAGTGGGGTTTTGTTTTTTTTTAAACTTAGGGAGGCTAACCCAGCATTTTACTATCCCTTGGAACTATGATCTATTTTTTCTTAGTCATTTTGCATAGTTCCCTTGGAACTATGATATATTTTTGCATAGTTCCTTTGGAACTAAGATATATTTCTACTACATTTCCACTTCTATCATTCAAAGAACGGCTGCCCAGAGCACATTCTCCCAGTTTAACTGCAGAGGAGATGGAACTGTAGAGAGGGATTAGAGAGAAGGAGATCCTCCAACAGTCAGAGTGACAGGGGAAGGAACTGATATTTATTGCCAGGGAAGGCACAATTAGCACCCTACAGAGATTTTGTTCAATGTAAGTTACAAGGAACCATCTTGCTGGGAGAAGTAGGAAACTGTTCTGACCTAACCTGTTCACAACCATTTAAGATTATACAGTAAAAGTTATTTTTTAAAAATGTCATTAAATAGTGACTGTAACTCCTACATTCCATCAAGTCACGTTTCCTTTATTTGTGTGTAGACACACAGACACACAGACACACACACACACACACACACACACACAAAGATATATAAAATCAGAAAAAGTTTTGGGGATGGTAGCAAAATCTATCAATCCCTTAAAGATCTCCCTAAATTGTTGTGATTACACTTTAATTCTGAAGAATAAAAGATAAAAAGAAGAGCCACACCAATTAGTGTGCGAAATGGCCATATGAATAATATGTTGCAGCACCTGGCTTCTGGAATGACATCTCCCAGAGGTTTACTGTATAAGTAGTCCTCGACTTACAACCACAATCTGGGACTGGAACTTCTGTTGCTAAGCAATGCAGTTGTTAAGTGAGTTGTGCCCGATTTTACAACTGTTTTTGCCATGGTTGTTAAGCGAATCATAGTGGCTGTTAAGTGAATCATGTGGTCATTAAGTGAATCTGGCTTCCCTCATTGACTTTGCTTGTTGGAAATCCCCTGGGAAGGTCACTAATGGCGATCATGTGACTCCAGAATGCTGCAACTCATAATTATGTGCTGGTTGCCAAGCAACCGAATTTTGATCACATAACCATGGGGATGCTGCGACAGTCGTAAGCGTGAGAACCGGTTGTAACTCACTTTTTCCAGCACCATCATAACTTTGAATGATAATTAAACAGTCATAAGTCGAGGACTACCTGTATGAGGCCCCCACCCTAAGGACATTCAGGAAACCATTTAAAACCTGATTGTTCTCCCAGGCTTTGGGATAGGGTAGTTGTGGAGTCCCCTTTAGTTAAGTCTGGTATTATAGCTGGTTGTATTGTTCTTCTGGCCAGTCAAGATTTCTTTTTATATGTACTCATTTTCTTTTTTTATTTGTAAGCTGCCTAGAGTCGTTAAGGAATCAGGTGGCCTTGAAACTGGATAGTAATAAATGAATGAATTCTTTAGGGAGAGAGAATCCATATTGTCTTTCCAGCAAAAGATCAAGGAAGATAGCTACCCTGCCACCTCACTTAACCTCCTTTACCTGGCCTGCAATCCTTCAGTTCCTATGCACCGTACTCCAGACTGAAAATGCTATAAAGAACCCAAGAACCTTCTTTCTCAGCTGCCAAAGGTTGGGCTCATGCATTTTGGTAAACAAACAGTGCAACCGTGCAACCCTACCTTTGCCTATTCAGAAGGAAGCTCTGCTGAGATCACTGGGATTCTAACCCATTCAAGTATTTAGAGGATTGCAGCTTCAATAGCACACCTTCTCTCTTTGCTGTTTCTCTAAGTCCCTGCTGTTCCCACCCCATACCTTCCCTCCAGACTTGAATGCTTGCTCACCTTGGCCCATTCTCTGGCTCGCTGCTTTGTGCGCACTGCACTCCTCTCCTCTGCATAAAGGGCCCCAATGAAGGAGCCAATTGAGGTGCCGCCAATCAGATCGATAGGGAGACTAGCTTCCTCCATGGCTTTGATCACGCCAATGTGAGAACAGCCCCTGTGGGGAAGGTAAGAACTATGTTTGAAGCAAATATGCCTCCCAATGCACCTTTGGTGGTTCTCACCAAGTCATGAAAATAAGGCTGACTCTTTCATGCCTCTATTGTTAGGGAGGAGCCAAAGGTGGAGTGGTTAAAAAAAAGCATGGTGGTAGTAGCAGTCAACATTGGTAGGCTAGTGGTGCTAGTCCAAAGTGTAAGCTTCCATGTTAAGGAGTACAGACCTCCTAACCTCTCTCAAATCCAATTGGGAGAACAGTGGGGTCCAAGGGAATGAGCCCATGGTGGGGAAAAAAACCACATCCTCTTGCCTTTGGGAGATGCAAGTTCCCTAGTTTTGGTGCACTGTTACCCCGAAAATCCTCCTGGCCTTCCTGATACCAAGCAAACATTTCCTAATTCTTTGGGGCATATTACCTGGCTCCACCGCCACCCAGAACCAGAGCGATAGTGTTGCCTGTAAGGACTCGTGCCAGACGGGAGAAGTCACTGTGACGATCAGCATTCTTTTCGAAGACTTTCTCATACATCTCTCTCTGTAATGGAGGATGGGGAGAGGAGTAAGACGATTTCCACTAGCTCCAAAGAAATGGGGCCCTGAGAGGGAAGCTGTGTAAGTTCACCTGTTCCCACATACCAACTTTTGCTGTCCACAAAAGGGAAGTCAAGTAGGCTTGGGCTTCACCTAGGGGGGAGGTGGGGTTCAGATAGCCTGCGCAGCCACCTGCAGTGCTTTGTCCTCAAGGTGATGCAAACCAAAGCAAGGAGTGGGGAGAAACCTGATGTAGGAAACATTGGCTCAGGATGAGTGGAACTGCAGGGTGGGGTCCCTGGGGGGAAGGAAGCCTGCTAATCAGAAAAGCTACAAGGGAAGCAACATCCTCAAGAGCAGTGACAGGTCAGCCTTACCAGTGCCCCCAGCAAAGCGAATGAGAAAGGCCTGACTAAGCCACAGGCTCTTTGGAAGAGTGAGCGCAGAACAAGAGGTAATGGTGAATGAACAAAATAAGGGTACCAGTTTGTTGGGACTGCGTCGAGAAAAGACCCTGCGTGGGCACTTGATGTGTAGATGCCCTGAGCACCAGCTTCGCATGTTGAGCCACTCCACAGTGCGGGCAGGGCTGGGGCCATCTTCACGGTGCAGGAGGATGAGCTGCTTTAGGGCCCGCACTGCTGTGTTCTCCAGCATCTGCTCTAGCTGACAGAGTGGAGGGAGAGAGGAAAAGTCAGGTCAACCACATTCATTTCCATCACAGCACAAACAGACCTGGTCAGCTGGCTTTGGCTGATTATGTTCTTATCCCATCTTTCTTATGGAGCCACACCCAAGAGAGGGCCAAAAACCAAGCCTGCCATTAGAGCAGGGAAGGCAACCAATTAGCAGGAAAAGCAATTCTGATGTGGATAGGCTAATAAAAAGATGCTCTTCGATCCTGTTGGGATCCATTTTAAGTTCTACACAGTAGGATGTGGGTTTGTGCAATGGAAGCCA